ATCTTCTCCATCCTTAACCATCCATGTTCCTTTATGGTTTATCTTCTCCATCCTTAACCATCCTTGTTCCTTTATGGTTTATCATTACCTCTTTGGTTTTTTTTTCCTATCTTAGTAAACTACTATTTCCATTTCCCCTTCAATTTAAAGGTAATTTTGTATGCGGGCAAAATAACTTAAAATGCCGTGACTGAACTCCCTTCGGCTAACAGCACAAATACCGATTCATCCGTTTTAAAATATGGCCGAGCTGATGAACAGTATCTATTTGTCAGTTTGATGATATTTGTATGTGTTTTATGGCGAGCAATAACTCTTGCAAGTAGGATTTCTTTCAAGTAACGTTACTTCGGCAAAGTAAATAAAGCTTCTGAATACATACATTTTCCGGATATGAATTATTCTAAGTACACGTTGAAAAATTCTTCTGAGGAATTAAATTCCGTTACTAAGAAACAACCAAAATTAAAGCTCAATTTTATTTCTACGTCTTTGCTTTTAACATCTATACAAAACCCACCGCCGTTTAGAAGCTTATCTGTTGTTAGGAAGAGGAATACGCAATTATTGGCTATTGAAACAGAACGTCAACTACTTTGGCAAAACAGAGAGACTTTCGTGAAAAGCCTCGGGAAAGTCATATATCCGAGCATTGCGTGAAATTCGCTAATTCTTATCTTCGAGGCAGTTAAAATGCAGCTTCGTAACAGTTCATGATATCTCACCACCGATTTTACCGAGAATACAATATTCTTGGTCATTGAGAAGGAGTCTTTCAAATTTAGCGCAACAGTTAGTTCATCGCAAGAGTTAAAGAAGCCACTCATCGCTGGAACAAGATAATCATCAACATGGTTCTGAAAAGATCGAGTCGCAGTGTCTTCGGCCGCGTAATAGTTTGGACGCTTTTCGGTTCTGCGGGAATAATCATCGTTTTTAACATGGTTTTCGTTCTTCAAACCGCTACTGAACTGGCCATATTAAAAAATGCAGGACCAGATAAAACGACATTCCCGTCACTTTTCAAGGAGAAAAGAGCTCAGTATGAACCGACATCCGAAGGTAAGGTTTAACTTTTTCTATTTACTTTTGCTTTTTCCTTTTCATAGAATTAAGATCGTTTTTTGCCCTTTCAGTACAAAGCTTGTGTAGATATCTTCTCCCGGCTTGCCTGACATTTCTTTCAATAAATGTTCCAAAAAATTTAGAGTTACTTAATTCTGATATATTCTGAAGTTTATGCTCTGCAAATTCAATCTTCGACTCGGCTGTATCCTACAACAATCAACGCTTGCAGTGGGGAAATTTGCTGCTAAGCTAGCTGAGTAAATTAATATGTTGTAGATCGTAGACTGATTATATTTTTTTGCAAGTGCTAATGACTATTTCTTTTTAACGATTACCAGAGCGTGTGATGTCCGATCACAAAGATTTTCGATCAGTCACGCGCACAAGCAACGATGGAATACTATATTCAATTTTCATAGTTATTTAAATTTCCTTCTCGCGACTTGTTTTCGCCAGTTTCCCGGATGACCATGGAAATCAAGACAGACTGGGCGAAATACAACTTTTTCGGCAACTTATTGTCACGAGCATTCAAATAGGCCATTGGCCGCTGAGTCAAAACGAGCCTTAATGCAAAATCATTCATATGGAAATGTGTTCTGCCCGCATGTTCATTTTCATGCTAATCAAACTCATTTTCATATGAAAGGTTTTGGACGAAGACTCGTTTTTAAACAGAGGCA